TCCACCCTCCCTACCGTGGTTTTACTACCTCTGGTGACAGTTATTAAACCTTAGGAACACTTCCATCTATAGCAGTCCCTCCAAAATAGACTGCAGAGATGGTTTGTGGGAGGTAAACTCTCTCAGCTTTTGCTTTTCTGAAAATTGTTTAATCCCTCCTTCAAATTTAAATGATAATCTTGCTGGATAAAGTAATCTTGGTTCCAGGCCCTTCTGCTTCATGGCATTAAATACATCATGCCATTCCCTTCTGGCCTGTAAGGTTTCTGATGAGAAGTCTGATGTTAGCTTGATGGGCTTTCCTTTGTATGTGATCTTATTTCTGCCTCTGGCTGCTTTTAACAGTCTGTCCTTATCCTTGATCTTTCCTGTTTTAATTACTATGTGTCTTGGTGTTGTCTTCCTTGGGTCCCTTGTGTTGGGAGATCTGTTGATTTCCATGGCCTGAGAGACTATGTTCTTCTCCTCAAAGACACTTTCTATTCCTTTCGCCCTCTCTTCTTCTTCTGGTATCCCTATAATGCGAATATTGTTCCGCTTGGATTGGTCACACAGTTCTCTCAATATTCTTTAATTTTTAGAGATCATTTTTTCTCTCTGTACCTCAGCTTCTTTGTATTCCTCCTCTCTAATTTCTATTTCATTTATGGTCTCCTCCACTGTATCCAACCTGCTTTTAATACCCTCCATTGTGCTCTTCAACGATTTGATCTCCAACCTGAATTCATTCCTGAGTTCTTGGATGTCTTTCCGTACCTCCATTAGAATGTTGATGATTTTTATTTTGGACTCCCTTTCAGGAAGAGTCACAAGGTCCATATCATTTAAATGTTTCCTGGGAGTTGTATTAATTTTACTCTGGGCAAGGTTCCTTTGGCGTTTCATGTTTGTATATGGTGCCCTCTAGTGTCCAGAAGCTCTATTCTGGAGCTGCTCAGCCCCTGAAGCAATGTTGTGGGTCACAGGGGAGCTGTACTGCTGCCTGGGGGCAGGAAAGAGCTGTTTCGCGCCTCCTGGCCGCTGTGCCTGTCTCCACTGCCTGAGCCAGTGGGCGGGTCACACCCGTATGTTTTTGCCTCAGAGCCACCGGATATGGATCCCTGCTTTCCACAAGCAGCCAGAGTCCCAGTCTCCCCAGGAACTCTGCCTGTATTAACTTTCCAACCCGGTAGTCATGTGAGTCTCATGAAAGCACCATGAAATGTAGGTTTGTGCTCCCAGCGCAGATCTCCGGAGCTAGGTACTCAGCAGTCCCAAGCCTTCCACTCCCTCCCTGCTCCGTTTCTCTTCCTCCGGCCGGTGAGCTGGGGTGGGGGAGGGGCTCGGGTCCCGCGGAGCCACAGCTCTGGCACGTTCCCGTTGGGTGAGGTCTGCTCTTTTCTCCAGGTTTGTGCAGTCTGACGCTGTCATCTTTACTGGTGCTCTCTCAGGATTAGTTGCGCCAATTAAATTTTCTAATTGTATCCAGTTTTAAGAGGAAGCCTCTGTCTCTCCTCTCATGCCGCCATCTTTAATCCTCTCTCGAGACACTATTTTCTGATAGGTGCCCCATAATTTAGAAAACTTGTTAGAGGTAGGTTTAGGGTTTCTGATGGGGAGTTAGCTATGGAGATGATTGAGGAGTGGATCCTAAATTGCTCTTGTTTTTTTTAAGTGTAATATGATGGTAACTTCATCAGTAAACTGATTTTCATCATGTAGCAATAAGAATCAAGAATCTAATTCATATTAGAATTCACAGTACAAGTAAAATAATAAAGATTAAGACTCATACATTAAAGGAAATTGTCTAATATGAATGTTTAGAAAATGCTCTGAATTATAATATATCAATTTAGATACAGGAATGATACTTTTGATATCATTAAAACTTTTATTATGAAAAGATTCTAAAGTACACTCACTAAGTGACCATGTCAATATCAAATGAAAAATTGCAGCCAGATTATTCTCACATTCCATAATTTTTAAATCAGCATATGTGTTTTGGAGGAATTTTTCATCAAGCACAGCAATGTCAGTGTCTCTAGAAAACTTTTCTAGGGTTCCTTTGGGATTTACACATTTTTCCTGAGACCTGAGAGGTTTGTTTTTAGTAGAGACTTAACTATATCATCATTTTATTTCTCCTGAAAAATTTCATTTGTGAAGATTACCCTCTGCAGTGTTATAACCTTACTGAAAATTCATTCCAGAAAAGGAAAGAATTATCTGAACTTTAAGATTTAGTGGCTGAAAATACTTTATTTCTCTGATATTTGAGTGGTTTTTTCCTTTTATGTGTTGGTTTAAAGGTATTTTGAATTTTCAAAAACACCTTTTCTTTTTTCTGCACCTTAAGTTTAGAGATGTCTAAAGCCCTGATTTAAAAAAATTGTAGCATGGTGTTGTATCTACCTCCTCTACTTTTTTAATAGCCAGGTTTAAAGGGGGGGAGTATTTCTAGTACAGCAATTGGTTAAATGTTTTTTTTCTTCCTGGGTTTCTTTTTAGGATCTGCTGACAATCAAAAACTTATAGCTGACTTTGGGATATGGCTTTATTACTCAGCAACTAAAAGATGAGTTCTAATTGGCAGACTTCTGGCACTGACACTTGCTCTCCTGTTTCTGTAGTAACTGGGTTGGAAGTCAGAGCTGCACAAAGGGAAAGGGTAAGTTTCTTTTTAACTCCATATTTATGAACCCATGTCTTATTAACTGTGGCATGGTGTCAGTTTTCACATAAGGACATACATCAGTGAATTGAAACTCAAATATGAACCACTTGAGTGGAAACTGACATCAAGTCATTTAAATGTTATTGGAGGGTTTAAATATGGATTTTTTTTTCTTGTGACTCTGACTTCACATTCTTGATGCAATGTATTCAACATAATATTTCTCCCAGTTATTTCTAATTTGGGGGTCACAAAATTGGCTTTTATCCTCTTCAGTCTTACTCTATTGTACTTTTCTGGTAAGTGAAAATTATAATATAAAATAAGTACAGAGGACATTTTTAAGTCTGCATGAATTACAAGTCTTCTTTTGAGTAAAATCTGATTCTTTCCATTATAAAACAAGTACCCTACTACTGACCGGTTTTTTAGCCCCTCTTCTCTTAGCCAAGCAGAATGAGATGTCTGTTGGATACATCTAGTCTGTTTGTTCTCATCTAGGCAGACACCCATTATTCATAGAACCTAAGACACCTGCCATTTGGTGAGTCATCTTACTGTTCTGGCTTCAGAGACCTGTGAAACAGCTGGGGCATTTAGGCTTGAAATTGTTGAAGTGTGATGTACAGGTTGGTGGTATATGTAAATAATTATACTAAACTCTTACGAGCTTTGGGATCCTGGAAGGAAGACTGTATTGGCTTTTGCTTGTTAAAACTTATCTATCTCATTTCCTTGATCCTGACATGCTGCTCTTAAAAAAGAGGCTCCTTTCCCTTCTAAAAGAACATTAATGTTGGTTGATACCAACCAGAGTGGAGCATCTTGGCTTTATTTCAGTTCGAATAGTCAGTTTTTGTAAAAATAGTAAAAGAAGTGCAAGTTTGAAGTTGTTCAGTAGAGAAAATGAATTCCTTTTTAAAATTTCACTTCTAAGTTTCTGGTCATTTAATGCCTGAAAGTGGATTCTCATTAACAATCTGTGCCTCCCTTCTGAACTACTAATATGTATCCTGTTAGTTTCTGTTTGCTGTCTGGGGCTTCAATGAGGTAAAATTAGAATTGCATTTGTGATTTTTTAAAAACTGAAAGCCACATGTCCCAGGAAGTCCCTCATTTCCAGCCAAACCCAGACAGTTGGTCATCCTATTTTAGTTTATTCTTTGCATCCCTAAAAAGGCTTCATTACGTTGTTAATGATAATTATTTTGGATAGAAGGAGATTTCACAATATACTAGCTTCTGTCAGAATGTTACCAAGAATTAGGCTCTTTTTTTGAAAAATGATTGTCTTACTTGTCTCAGTGATCCTGGGTATTGCCAGCTTACCTCTCACAGAAATGAAACATGAATTTTAAACTAATTTATTTAAAAGTTGATTCCAAGGACTTTTATTGTGTGTATGTTAAGACTATAGGTGATAAATATGAGGCATTGGGTAGATATTTGTAGCAAATGAATAGCCAAGTGAGGCAAATATGTGGATAAAAAGCCTTATACAAGCTAGTTCTGGCTTAAGAGAAGCACTTAAGGTTTTTAAAAAATATTGGGCTTTGGTTTTATTTTGAGGTCTTTAGGTCTTTTATATTGAAGTCTCCCCTCTTTAGGTCTTTTATATTGAGGTTTTTTGTATTATGTGTCTCTTAAAAACAATTAAATATTAATACATGGTGTATTTTTTCTCGTGGAAAAAGCAGATTTTACAGTTAGGCAAGTTTATTTACTAAGGAGCTAGTTTTTTGCAAGTGTAGCATTATATATATTAATCTTCCTAGAAAATTTGAAAAAAATCACAATTATCATTTTTGTCCATTTAAGTGTAATTGTTGCTTTCATTAAATTTTAAACCTAGAGAATCATTATAGAAGAAAAGCCAGAGACCATGATCAAATCAACAGTAGTAATTAGGTTTCAGAATTGGCCCTATAGAGGACTGGCTTAATAACTTTAGGCACAAATAACTTGGTCTTGATTTGTTTTGTTCCTTATGTATAAAATTGGAATAACAGTACCTATCCACTTTCCTCACAGGGTTGACATGATGATAATGAGATAAGTGGGAAAGAAGTTTAACATAAACTTACTATAACAGTTTTAATACAGAAATAGTATTTAGTTATCTATATAGAAAATGAGAAGTGGGAAAGAAGTTTAAGAAGTTAAACTTACTATAAGAGTTTTAATATCAGAAATAGTATTTAATTTTCTATTTATAGAAAATTCCTTCTGTACAGTAATGTGGTGGCATTTTCTTTGAGTAAGAGCAGCCAGAAATGGTATCTTAACAGTTTTAAATATAACCCAATAAGTAGCTGAGAAGAAACTATACTGAACTTCTTTATTCAAATAAAAAGTATGTATTTCAAGGCTTATAATTTATAAACATGTCAACTAGTATTTCAGTACTAAATAATTACAAGTGACCTATGTTTAGGCATTACCTTCTTTGGTCCAGGTTCAGTGAATATTTGAAGACCTAAAAATGTTAAGTACCTTAACAACTATATTGTTACTGCATTGTAAGCAGATGTTTTGTGGCTTTAATTTGTTCCTTTGTTTTGGTTCCTAGGTACTTTGTGTTCTCCTTTTAATTTCAATCTAGAAAGTAAGACTTTATGCCAATTTGAGTTAGAGCAAATTTATTATGAGATGAGTGCTTTCAGTTAAATTAGCTTCATAATCTTGTGGTATTGCCAAGAAGCCAGGGTGATCTAGAATGAAAGTGTAGGTTTTATGTAAGTCTGTGTTTAAATTGTGACCCTTCTACTTAATGGGGTGTTTTAATATATTTGACTTAAAGTTTATTCATTTGTAAAATGGGTGTCATAGTATTTGCTTCTAAAGGTTGTAAAAAATAAATGCAATAGTATATAAAATGTGCCCATATCAGTGACTAGTGTATATTAGATGTTGAAATAAAGCTTTTCACTACCCTACTGCTCCAAACATACATGTTTGTATATGCTAAGTATAATATTTGTTTCTTCTTGGTCCCATACAGATCTCTTTGAAGGGGAGAAAAATCAGTGTACTGTTTTCCTTTTCTTGAAACCCTATATGTAATATCTGCAATAGTATTTCAAGACTATAGATTCTTAGAATTGTGTTAATATTATGTGATATTGTCCAAGAAAAGTAATAAATGAGCAGGATCATTAAGTAATTGTTAATACAGTGAGTACACCAGTTACAGACGTCTTTAGCTTCCTATAGTCTAAAGGGTACAGACTTTGTTCATCCGCACCATCCAGGTCAGGAAGCTTATTAACGTTGAGTAGGATGAAGAACTACTCTGTTACATAAGATTCATAAAAACCTATCTAAAATAAAAATTCGATTGGGGAGTTCTTTAGCGGGTCCTATTTAAAATGTACAGTTTACTTTCATAGAAAGAAAGAATCTGGTTTCCAGAAGTAGTTAGAAAGTCTCTTTTGAAAACAGTTATTGCTCCAAAGGGAAAGGGGAATGGGTGAGAATGGTTCCTAGCAAATCATTGATTTCTTTTATCTTCTGTTTTGATATAGAAAGCAGAAGAAAGGAAATAGCAGCTACTGTGTATCAGGGCTATTTTGCTTGGTACAGTATATTTTTATTTAATCCTCACAGTATATCTTTGAGGTAGGTTGGAACTATTACTCTCATTTTACAGAGGGTAGGAAATTGGGACTCAGAAGTTGACTAATTTTTATGAGGTCATACAGTAACAAGTGGCACAACGGATTTATTAACTATTTTTGCTGTTTGTGTGTGTGAGGAGGGTGGTATTTCTGTTTCTTTCATATTGTCATAGGTCTAAAATATAAAAATGTTAGACATTTACATCTAAATGTAAAACCTGTACATTTTAAACAGGACCAGCTACTGTTTTCAAGATAGCAGATTAGAACCCAGATTAATTTGGTTTCAGAGTTTATCCTGGGCTTCGTGGAATAATACAAAGATGAATAAAGATCTTTTTGATCTTGCTGACTAATGGGAAAGATGTACATTTAAGCTCATGTAGTACTCTGTTGGAGTTGGATGAAATTCCACATAAGAGAGTGACCTGCTGCTGGGGAAGGCTTTCCAAAAGAGATGGTTTTTGTGTAGGTCAGACTGTGAAGGGTGAGACTGTCTCCTGGAGAGTAGCAAGACTTTAGGATTGTAGCTGGTGGCAAAGCTTGCACAGAGGCATACTTAGGGAGTGATTCGGCAGTCTGAAGCTAAAACCAGGCTTTCAGTTTAAGATTTTTCTCTGCAGGGAACCAATGGATATTTGAAAGCAGAGAGCTTTTAAAGAGCATTCTTAAAGAGAGTCTAAGGGAGGTTGGCATAGCAGAGAACTCTAGGTGTTTTTTTTCCTTTTAAAATTACCTAAATACTGAAGGGCTCTCTATTCACATGTAATTGCTTAGTCTAAATGACATTATTAATTAGTTAACATTATTCCATATTTAAGGGACATCTTTTAGTTTATCTCCCTTTAAAAGCCACCCATTTGACTTTTGAATAAAACTTGTTCTAAAGACATCTAGATATTTGGCCTGACTATTTTGGATAATCAGAAACATCGAAAAAATAGTTATTTGGATGGGCAGGAACGTTATTCAGATTATCTTGAAGTTTATTTTTAAGTAATTCTCTCTTTTTTTTAACATAGCATTACATGTTTATCAGAAAATTTAAGAAACAAAATAATGTATACAAAGGTTATCTCTAACCAGTAAGCAAAGATAAACTTTTTTGGGGGTATACCGTTCCAGTTAGTAAACAAAGTTTAAATAGTCATTCAGATTTCGGAGTTGTAGTCAACCCATGGCTGTATTTAATGCAGGCATACCTCATTTTATTGTACTTTGCTTTATTGTGCTTTGTGGATATTGCATTTTTTAAAAACTGAAGGGTTGGGGCAACCCTGGGCCAAGCAAGTCTATTGGTGCCATTTTCCCAACAATATTGGCTCACTTTGTGCCTCTGTCACATTTTGGTAATTCTCACAATATTGCTCATTTTCCCATTATTTCTATACCTGTTAGGGTGATCTATGATCAGTGGTGATGACTTGTTGAAGCCTTAGATGATGTTAGCATTTTTAGCAATAAAGTTTTTTTAACTTAAGGTATATATATTATTTTTTTAGATATAATACTATTACACACTTCATAGGCTACAGTATATAGTGTAAACGTAACTTTTACTTGCACTGAGAAACCAAAAAGTTGATTAGACTCTTTATTGTGATACTCGCTTTATTGTGGTTGTCTGAAACTACACCTGAGGTATCTCCAGGGTGTGCCTGTACTTCTTCTCTCAGTTAAGAATAATGTTTTTCCCATCTTCACATATTTTATTAACTGAATTATCATAGCACAATTGAAAGTTTGGTTATTTTTTATTACAGTACACTCTGATTTTCATTTAATATCTAAGGTAGCTGCTTCAGTTGATTGAAAATTTAGCCTGTTTAATAAAATATTAATGAACAGCTTAATTTAGGTTACTGTTACTCTTTTCTTACTACCCTTTAGACATCTCTCAGAATGTTAAAGCAAAAAAGAACCTTAAAATCTATCTGGTTGACCTTCTCATTTTACAAATGAGGAAACTTTTCCTTCAAGCTTTTGTTCCCAGTGACTTATTAGTTTAAATTTTCTTTTGTTAAGCTCTCACTTGATTGTAGTCCTCTTTCTTTCCAGTCAGACTCTGTTTTTCCATCTTTCAGCCAGTGGTACAAAGAAAAGGGACATTGAAGAGAGGAGATAACATGTGCCACAGAAGTAGAAGGAGCCAGTGTATGTCTGGGTACAATCATATAACCAGCCTGGAGGGAAGGAATGATTTCAGTTAATGAAACAAACCTTTCCATTCATAATTCTCAGACATGAACTGCTCCTTGAAGGAGGAGCCTCCTGTACTTACCAGTATGTGTTGTGACCTATTAGAAAGTTAGTCAAGCTGATTGCCTGTCTTATTTTCTAGTGATGAAGTTAAGTCAGTTCCACCTGAATTAGGGACTTAAACCTGTGGGAAAAAGTGATCATTGACCAGAACCCATCTCCAATTTTAAAATGGAAGTTGGAGAAAATCAGGGACACATAGCCATTTCATTTTATGATGAATCTTACTAGAAGTCCAGTGTTCTTAAAAAGAAAGTAATTGTGAATTACTACTGTTTTCCAAAGAAAAAAGTGAGAAAACTGATTATTTCTACCTTCAGTGAACAAGCATTTAAGTACTTATTATGTTCCCAGCAGCGTGCTCGGTGTTGAGGATACCTAATAAGCTAAAACAGACATGGTCCTTGCCCTCACACCATCAGTTCAGTAGGGAGTTACGTAGTAGCCACATAAATTACACATGTGATAAGGGATGTAAAGGGAAGGTTCAGGAGCTGGAGAGCACATGGAAAGGAACTTGGTCATGTGGGTTAAATGATGACTAATTTCCACAGAAACCAAAGTGTTCTTTTAAAGCAAGAATGTCAGGGTCCACAAAATTGTTTGGCTAATGGCACATATTAGAACTTCTTAGATAAAATGCTTTTTTATAAACTGAGTGTGTGGTGGCAAACTATTTGTTCAAGGCACCAGCATTTAAACATTGTTGCAAAAGTGAACCCAGTGAAAAAGGCAAATAACATCTTAGTATTATTATGAAAATAGTTTTAACCTCATAGACTCCCTAAAACGGTAACTACTAGGGATCCACTGACCACATTTTGAGAACTTCTTTTCTAGAGGAGTACATGCATATTATGTTTGTAGATGTAAACTTAAATTATGGCTTTTAATTCTGAAAAACCTGAAAAAGTTAAAGCTGTTATCCTGATCATTTATTCAAAAAATTTTGGTGCTGTATGCCCCATAAAGTAGGGATATACCTGTAAATGAAATAGGTGAAAATGTCAGCCCTCATGGAGCTTACATTGTGTCTTTGGTTTTCATTTATGTCTGGAACATGATTTCTCACTGGCTATGGAATATCCCCCCCTTTTTTTTTTTTGGTCTGATTGTGTATGTTTTTATCTTTTGTCATTTTTGTTCTCTTATTGGCTCTGATGTTTAGTTTTTGTGTTTGTTTCATTAGCTGTATATTTCCTGTTCTTGATGTAATCAATGAGTGGAATGTTTTACAGCCTTTTAAACTCAGCTAACTTAGTTGACTTTTAAAAACTTACTGACTGCTTGTTGGATTAGTGACCTCAAATGTTTCTTACAGTTAGCAAAAGAGTGGAGTGAAACTGGTGAGGACAAGTCTTTGTCTTATGTTGATTGTGACTGACCTTTAGATATCTAAGAAATGGGTGGCCAGTCTCTTAGGTCTTTTAGAAATTTCTAAAAAGGAGGGAACATGGAAAGCAGCAGCACCCCTCTGTATCTCCTGTCATCCCTGCCTTAATTCCACAAGTATAGCAAATGTAACAGTATATATACAACCTGTGAATTACATGGCAGGAATAGTAAAAGGAATACTCTCGGAAAAGACTAGTAATTCTTGAACAGGAGGTAGGTGGTGCTGCTAAAAGGTCAGAAGAGCACAGCTAAGAATAGTAAAAATGGGTTGTTGGTTTCTTTTTTAAATAAATCCCAGAGAGATTAAAACAGTTTAAGAAAAAACTTGTAATAAGCCTTTCATTTCATATACATACACACATGTAAAGTCATACTGTCATTTCTGAAACATTTAAGATTAAAATATACTTAAAATTTTTTTGTCACCAGGGCAGGAAATTTTGCATAATCTAGAACTGTTTGATGTATTTCCATGCAAAATGTGATGAAATACTTTGTTTCAAATCTGTTTTTTCCCATTCATACTTGATAATTAAGATATAGTATATTTTTAAATTGTATTTCTAAGGTCCAGTTGCCATTCAGTAGGATAATGTGCAGTTGAGTATTTAATTTTAGGATGCTATTTATAATAGCAAATATGAGGTGAAATGTAGGGTCAGGACTATATCATTGTTCAGTGGAAGTATTAGCTGTCATAACCAAGCTTAGATTTAAGAGGCTGCCTGGTAAGTTAAATTCAGAGCTTCATTGGTATTGAAACATCTACTCTATTTGGTTGGAATAATTAGCCTTTTCCCACCACTAAAGTAAAAAACAACAACAAAAAACCTGTATATTTGGTTTGATTCCTGTACTTTCTTTTGGTAAAAGTATGAAAAAGCTGTATACAAATATACTTTCAACCCTAACCAGTTTTTAAAGCTTTTAAATACATATTTTTAAAAGAAATTATTCTTGGGTAGTTCAAAATCCACTGTAGTCTAACAGTTTTAAATAGAAATACACAGCTACGTTGATATTGAAAAGACTGGGTTCCTTTTTGGTCACAGCAAAAGCAATGGCAGACAGAGGAGATAACGTACCAGCCACAATCCAGGAAGGTGTTTGTGCTTCTGAGTGTCCACTCCATGCTGAGTATATGTAGCCAGTACTCTGAGGAGTACCATGGCAACTGGTGTGGACTTTTAAGCTGAAGTCCCCTGTATTTCCTCAGTGTGTTCAGACTATCTGCATCAGATTCACCTAAGATGCATGTTAATTGTGCAAGTTCATTGGCTTCCCTCAAGCAGACTTCATTCAGCCTGGGTGGCACCCAGTTGATTCTTATGCCCAATAAAATTATTGTCCAAATTATTTCCTTATATCTATGGCTGTAACTTTTGTTTTGGGCAGGAATGTCTAGTAATGTTTCCTGTGATAATTTAAAGAAGATGGGGCTCAGCTTTTATAAACAGTTTTGCAAACCAGACAATCAACAAAAAAGGAGTTAGAATCATCTTTCAAGTTTGATACTTAATACAGAACCCTAAATTGATTTTTTAAATGTCAACATTAAACTATTCTACATCATTTTATGGGTTAAGCCATATATGTTTAAAAATAAGTTTAGCAGTCTGTCTAAAAAGTGTTTATACGTCATAGCTCTAATATCTCAGGACTTGATTGTTGAATTATTAGTCCTTTTTATTAGGATTATTACTGTACATTTGCTGTTTGGTTATTAAAACTTGAAATATACCAGAAGGCCCTTAATTCCCAAGTTCCTTGATGCCAGTTCAAATTAGTGATTGAGAATTCTGTAGGTGACCAGCTGGTTGAACCAGAACTTCTAGCTGTTGGGCTGCAGCATAGCGGCAGACTTCCAAGGTGCACAGAGACAATGATCTCTCATCCATGGGGTTAACTGGGACTGCTGACTGGCTGTTAGCAGTCTTATCATATTACTTGGGGTGTGCTGTTACAGATACTGTCTATATGTGCCATGTTGGAAAAATCTTGGGAAACATGCTTTATGAGATTTAAGCCTCAATGCCTTTTAAGACAGGAACTCCTCAAGGCCCCATGATAGAAATTTACAGTAAGACTGGGAGTGCTTTAAGATTGGCACTATGCTGTGAGTTTAAAGGATTGTGGTCTGTGTTACGTTTTAAAGATTGATTCCTTGCCCTTGCAAAGGAATATGTTTGCAAGACGAGGACTGCCCCCTTCCCCTTTTTAAGCTGTTGTGGAGAGCTAATTGGAATTTATTTTTTATGTTTTTGAAGGGATTCGTTGATCTTAGGAATACTGAATCAAAGTAAAATTCTATGAGGCTTTGTTGTTTATGGGAAAAATTTAAAAAACAATAAACCCAACTGGATGAATAAATGATTTACATTATTTTCTTATGCCTCTTTGGAGTATACTATTTTCCTCAGGATTTAGAGAACAGAGAACTTTACCTTCTCACTTGTCCCCACTTAACACCAATCTCCAGAATGGATTTATAGCAGATTAAAAGGTTGAGTTGTTTTGTTTGTCTGCTTTCCAAATAAAATTTTAGGCCATAGAGAAATTCTCAACTGATAGGCCAAGATGACTGACAAAACTGTAGAGGGCATTGTTGATAAAAGGTAAAGTGAGGACTGGGTGGAATATTTAATATTGTGTCTGAAATGAGGATAGAACAGAGTTAGAAAATGACATCATTTCATGAGGAGATGAACTTATCTATGTTAGCAGGACAGAGAAAAGCTCAGATGGATGGATTTCCATTTTAGCCATTGTCTTTTCCTATGAAACACAGATAAAGAAAGGAGTTAGTACAAAATTACCAGTTGTACTCAATACAGAATACAGAAATACAGAAATGGTATTTCTGATGAGGTGTGAGGTTGATAAATAACAGCAAGAATATATACTTCTCTTTTAAGGGACTAGTTAACTTTAACTTACTCTGAAGTGTAATCAACTTCAGATATTTGGTATTAGAAGTGGCTTTCCTTGAGATTATTGAAAAAAAATCACTTTTGTGAAATACCTGCTTGATGAGTGAAGCTTCAGTATATTTTAAAGTCCTTTTTGTTATACCACAGCTCAGAATGTCTTTACTTAAAAAAAAATAGAAACATAGGTTAGAGTGGCTTCAAGACATTTTCCATTAGTGAAGTAGAAGAAGAATGCATATTCTAGTACTCTGTTCAGAGGTTCTGGACTGTTGGCCTTGGTACTAAGTCCTGGCCGTGTATGTGGCGGGGATGAGTGCTCTACCATGACCTGGTGAGAGCTGTGGGATTTCAGTGAGAGATTAGCTTGTGTCTTCTCTGTGTCCCATATAGCAGCTAGCAGAATGCTGTGCTAATAAGTTGCTTGGTAATTACTGAGTGAATACTGAGTTCTAATCAAATAACTGCTGCGTTTTAAGAAATTTTTTTTAGAAGATATTTGTGATTAATTAAAATATATAAAATATGTATTAGCATAATATATGCATTCATCAGTTGGGAATGGAGGGGAATGTGGAGTAGAGGGGAATTGCATTCAGTTGTAATTTATAGGCAGCTTAATTGGCCGTTGGTGGTTTTATTCTTAAATGAAACTGAACCTTTAGCATTTTGTGCTCTGTCAGATGCCTAGGATACAGATAAGGAGTTTCATATAAGTAGTTTACATATTACTTGTATGTTAGAGAATATGAGTATATACTTGCTTTGTTTGCCCAAGGCACTATTTTTGTATTTATTTTGCTTTCTGCAGGTTCACTTTCATTAACAGGGGTCTACTAGAAATATAATGTTTTAAAATATCAGTACTTAAAATTTTTTCACAACCTTCCAAAGCTTCTATCTCGGTACTAATGTATAGTTCTGGGTGTCATCTACCTGAAAAAAAAAGCAGTAGGCTTTGGATGATTAATGACATTTGACCCACACTTAGGCCCATTGACCACCCTAGGTTAGGAAACCTAGAACAGCTCTTAACACTGATATAAGCTGAAGCAGGCCATATTACTAACTAAGCTGAATTTGTCACTGAGTATTGAAAAGAAACAGGACAGGCTGTGGGGTGGAGTGAGCAGGGTGGTGGCTTGTGGAGGAAGTGTGTATGTATATATGGGGGGTGATTGACTTTAACTCAATTCAAGCCCTGTCAGTTTCAGCAGAGATCTGATAAAATATTTTGTTGCTACTGTATTTCTTATCATATTCACTGTTGAAAAAAGTTTATAATTTTCTTGCCCATATGCTCTATTTACATTTTTAAAAGAGAAAAGTGACTTTTAAAAATTCAATTTTACGTGATTTTATATAAATCTTTGGGTTTCCTTTGATTTTTTTTGCTTTCCTTGAATTATGAAAATATGCTGTATAGGACTAACTTGTTTTCCTTTTTCATTTCCATACAGGAAGGAGAAAAATATTGTTCATGTAATCGATGTTACCATTATTAACTAGTGTTGGCTGAGGATTATTATGAAAAGTTTTACTAAATTCCTAATTTAAAATGCTTGTAACCTTTTTTAGGAATTTCAGCTTTTGCAATTTGGTAACAACAGATCTAGGTAAGTAAAAAATGAGAATTTCATACAGTTCTGAAGATCTCGGTTTGGTTGAGAATTTAATACTTTATAATCAGTAAGCCTTTCAATTTAGTTAAAGCTAAAGGCAACAGTGTAACCGTCTAAACTGTTGAGAACTGAGTGAATCTGTAAATCAACATTTCTGATGTTCCTTTGGTAGTTGCTGCTAGAGTCAGAAGTGAGGAACAAATCTGAGGCTTTTGTAAAATCCTCTTTTGTTTCCCAGAGAAATGACTTACAGGAGCAAGAGCTTCCCTGAAGCATCCCCCTTTCACAAGATGCTTAGGACAGTGTTACAGTCAGTGAGAGATCTTGGTGTAGAGAAGGAAATTTAGATGTACTTTGCATTAATATTATAATCTTGTTTATGATACTGTGAGCGACTCCCAGACTAAAAATCTATACATAAACCTTCAGCAAGAGCCTTATCATCTCCTTTGACTTTTTTGTAGAACTTAAAAAATTAATGACTGCCTAAATAATATTCTCAGAACTAGTGGGTAAAATTTCTTTCATGAGCTGTCTTTATCCTCATATATAATGCTAGGGTATTGTGAACATTGATTCATAAAAGCCTGGTAAATTTTTCTTGACTCATTGACAGTAAGAAATGTATTTTTACATCACATATATTTTATATAACATAGGTGTGTGTGTATAAAGTAAAAATTTCACAATAAAGTGATGCACACTGTTTCCTAATCTGCTTTGTTGTAGTCTATTCTTTTTCATTAAAAAAAGTAAAAAAGATCATGATTCAAGAAGTGGTTTCAAGACCCACATACCCATCTGTAATGTTTCCTTTCAAGTCATAGTCCTCACAAAACTTGCCTTGTCTAATCCTTACTGAACTTTTTAAACATTTCAAGATGTATATAAAAACATATAAAACAAGATCTCTAAAAATGTAGTTTTGTTAGTTTTATTATTTGCATAAAATATTCTTTGCCCTGGTGTTTGTTACCTTTGTATTCTTTTGACCTGATAGGCTTGAAAAGTTCTGTCACTGGGTCAGCTGGTGAAAAAGAATCAAGATTGAAAAAATGCATCAGCAAACTGTTTGAGCTCTGTTTTCTGTATCTTTGGGCACTAGCTATAGAGTAGTTCTGCTAGGCATCTCTCCTATTGGTTTCTTTTTACCAGTCCCTGTATAACAGTTCTGACATTGACTTTAAAACCTAGCCTGCTTTCCAGGTATGAAGTATAGGCTGAATTACACCACATGGGAAGATGTGTGTTCATAAATGCAAATAAGAAATTGGTTGTATATTTGTATAAATTTTTCCTTTAGAATAGTGTATACCTACACTGTATCTCAGATAGTATTACCCTTTTTCTTCCAGTAATAATTTTTGTTAGTAAGTTTTTATACTTTTGATATTTGCCTTTCCTAAGTCTTAATTTATAGAGGTGTAAACCTAAATAATATCAGAAAAGTTAGTTTTTAAAAAATGATAATGGGGCAAGATCATATCATTTTTCTGTCTCACTTAAGGACTGAAAGGAAGCAAAAGTTTAAGTTTTAGGGTGAATTCCTTTCTGTGGATGATTGGAAATGCTGTAATAATTTGTCTATTCAAATATATTGAGAACCTATAGTGTATGTAAGACACTAAAGTTTATTCCATAGAAATATTTCTGTGAGAGTAGTCTTTTAATAGTCTTGGATTAAATGCTCAGCAAGCACAAAATTAGGTAAGAAGTGAACATAAAACAATGTTTCAGTCTTAAAGCCAACTTAACTAATGAGAACTCCCTAAATTTTTACTCTGCTTGTATGTACTGTTTGCCAGGGGCCCCACATACCTTCTCCACAGAGATTCTGGCCTGTAGGCCAAGTCTCCTCCCACCTTTGGGACAGATGGAATATGAACAGTCTCCCTCCCTCTTTGAAAATAAGACATGTTGGGAAGCCCTGGACAGCTGAATGGAAGATCTGAACAGCAAAGCGGTCCGGCTTGCAGTTTTCAAGCTCTATAATGACTCCTATTTAGATAAAAGGTGCTAATGGTTTTTGTTTTAAAGCTACTGTAGGTCCTCAGGAATCCATAAAACTTTGGATTGTCTCCCCAGATAAGTAGATGTACATACAAGCCCTGTTCTAAATCTCCCATCAGAATATAAGAATCTGTCTAGTGCATATCTGTTGAGTTAATCCTTAGATTCTCCTGGATTGGTGAGGGAGTGTGAGAGTTGGTATAGGAACAGCCTGTTTGTCATCAGTTTCATTTACCATTAATCATTGATCAGCATTTTCTTGCATTGCTATTGAAATTTGTTCAGAATGTGGTGAAGCTGTTACCTGCTATAGGTGGTCCAGAAAGGACAGCCATCCCAGCAAAGAAACTAGCAAGTCCCAAAAACCTGTGTACGCTAGAATTCTCAGACAGATCAACCTGTAGGGATTAGAATTCAGTATTAGCCATAATGAGGGTGAAATTCTTTATAGAGACCTATGCCTACAAACAGACAAATAACTGTTTATGTCATCTTACACTGTAAATAGCTGATTTCTGAGGTGATTTGGATGCGCTTTTTGCCCTCATGAAAAAGCCAAAGCAAATAGGGAACAGTAATTGCACTAGGCAGGCAGTGTTTTCATTTTATTAGTAAGGAACATTGGATTTTTTTTCTGTTCTTTGTTTCTGTTTTCTGTTCAGGGTTACTTTTTTTCCCTAAACCCTCACTACTCTTCTCTATTAGGAATGGTATTTACAGTCTGAACTGGCAGTGGTATTTGTATCCTCTTATGTCTGAGCACCAGCCATTGGTTTGTAAGAAATCAGATATTATATGATGAGTTGATTTCAGCCTTTGAAAGTATGATTTTTGCCTAAGCCTCATATTATATCCTGCAGCACTTAACGCTAATATTGGCAATCAAGCCAGAAGTTTCCCAGGGGTTTTATTCCAAAACACTGGGGACCTATTTCTGACCACCTGTGGAACCCCTGGGGTTCCCAGAAGAACTCAGAAATATTTGTGTATGTATTTCAGTTCCATTTGGGTCTGGGACTTTAAGTCAATGTGAGTAAAAGTGGAAAGGAGTTAAAAAAAATGTTCCTATTAAGGTGCACAGAACTTTTCTCAATAAGAGCGAAGCCACACTGCTCAGGAAGCCCCCTTTTCCCTCAGGGAACTCTTCAAGATTGTGTCTTAGAAGGAACCAAAGAAATTTCTGGAGCTGAAGGGAAGAAGTGAACACAGCCTAATCCGAGAGACAGATATGCAAAATGGAAACCTGCTCATCCCTTTTTGCTTTCATTTCTTCCCTGTCCCATGTGGATGGTTCTCTCATCATTCTTGCCTGGCAAAGTAAGATGAGTAACTGGACAGAATATAGCTGCAGGGTTTCTGAGGCCTTGAGTATGATTTTTTAAATTGTAAAATTAATATAAAATATGCATTCTCTTGGGGAAATGATTACTAATACTTAATAGTTTAATAATGTTAATGTGTCTACTCACCAGTACAGGAAGTATCATTGCCAAATAACCACCAGAGAACATGGCGAAGAAGATGATGTAGGTCATGAGTAGTGGAAATGTGGTGGCTAAAGGAGCAAGCAGGTTAGTGAGGCCACAGAGGATGAGGTAAGACTTGTGGTAATGATACTTCTTGATCCAGTTTTGATCAGCAACCCATCCACAGATAATCTGACTGGCTGTCTCAATGATACCTGGAATAATATTGAAGATGTGTAAATATAAATGTGTAAGGTATCCTTTCCTAAGAATTATGACTTCATCCTGAGGCTGAGACTTATAAGGAAAAAAATGGTTTTATTGTCTATCAATAGATTCTAACATTTGCTTACCTATTCCCAACATATCTAATAAAATACCAAAAGCTTCCTCCAGAGTTGGGTTGGGTTGGGTTTTCTGACTGTGTTTGGAAAACATACCACCAAACTAGACTCAAGAGGCTTTCCTTAAAGAGGTCTTGCAGGTCAGGGAGTAGACCCTATGGTCAGTGTCCTGGTTAAGTCCTGTAGTGGAATACTGAGTATAAATAATAAAGTCTTATATTGGAAAAGAAAAGAAAAATTGGAACTTTTTCTTATAATTGTACATGAAGTTTTGGTAACTTAAGTTCTACACCAAAGGTTATGCTGAACTTGAAAATATGTAGGAAGTCTGGAAACGGGAGATCATTTTGAACATTGGAGCTATGGTGTAACTTGAATAAGATTTAAAGAACCACTTTGGTTACTCAGTTTCAGAACAGAACATTTTTACCCTTTATCCCATTATAAGCTAATGGAGCCATTAAATACTAAGGGATTTTCACCAATGGTGTATAGCATGAACTGCTGCTGTTTTGTACTTAAGATGCTTTCTATGGTTCAACAAATTGCTCCACCCCCTCAAAAAAAAAGAATAAAAGCATACTACCATTCTATATATGCTTACAGCTATTTCCTAGGATACATACTGAATTTGTTACATTCTTTGGTCCTGTTCTATAGCCCTAACCTGATCTAAATTGATGCTACCAGACATATTAGTGAAAAGGTCAATTTAGCTAGGTATCTTTTTCCTGTGTACAGTTTTATTTGACTTTGCATTTGGAAATAAGGTACAGTTAGTTTTATAATGGCTTGACAAATAGTCTTTTCAAGAAATTAGCAAGAGAAAAGTTAATATTGAGCTACTGAGAATCCAGATAATAAGAGCAACCGGTTTTATTTCATCCCTCTTTATTTTTTTAGGCTCCCTATTTCATCAGTTGGGAGAACCCATGTCTTTTTTTCCATACATTTTTAGAAATGCTCAACTAAAATGATTGTTTTTATTTTCAACTTATATTCTATTTTACTTTAAATATTAGCCAGTTCAATAGTGACTAGATTTAACAAGCATATTTGAATTTGAGGGGAAAAAATACCTAGCTACAAATATTGAACATTGAATATGTATGATGGCCAGACACTATTCTAAACTTTATGTGCATTACTTGTCTAATCCTGGCCTCATGAGGATTGGTACTAACATCCCTATGTTACATATATAGAAATAGAGGCACAGTGAACATAAATAACTTGCTCCAGGTCACACAGCTAGGAAATGCAGAGCAAAAACTTGAACCTGAGAAGTCTAACTACAGAACCTACCCTTTCAACCACTGTACTGTTGTCTACCTAGGATTTTTTTGCTTCCTGGAGTGTTGCCACTGAGCACCAGCTTTTTAAACTTCAGTATTTATCCAACAAACTGGTTAGTGTCTGCTGTGTCATACAGACACTGACATATGAAAATGAATTAAGACTTGGTTTGGGGCCCACTGTCTGGTAGAAAACCTGTGTGCAAGGTGCAGTGACAGAGATCTGTGGAGGGAAATGCCTGGTGTTGCCACCAGCCTCAAAAAACTTGATTTTCTGAGCCTGTCCACAGCTCCTTTAAAAAAAAAGTTTTTTTCTGTTTTCTGATAAAATTTAATAAGTTTTTGCAAAATTAAGGTCATTTTTTCTTTTGAATGAGAGGGTAAAGTAAATAGGCTTTCTCACCAGCTACAGAAATGAGGTACGAGGCATCCATCATGTCAATCCCCAGTGTTTTGGCTCTGGCTACCAAGTGAAATGTGGGGATGAAATAGGCCAACTGACTAAGGAGAAAAGACCAGGTAAATATGTAGAAGAAAGGGTTCTTAAAAAGAGAAATATCAAAGAGTTCTTGTTTACAGTTCCACGAAATTGCCTTTTTCTTGTGACTTTCTTCATCAGTTACTAGGAACAGTCTGTTCCTGTTAGGCCCATTGTTGAACTCTTCGTTTTGATTTTGTGAGACTGCTAAACTTGTACCGGGTTGTCCAGCCTTCTGCATAACAGTGTCCCTGATGGTGGACTCTTGTATCTCATTGTAGTGTGATGTTTCTGTGACACACACTGCCTCTGGACCGCCTGCAGACAAGCTGCTGCCTTTATCTTTAATACCCAAATTGCTCTTGCTTTTGATATGGATGGGTCTTAAGAGCATACTGGAGGGCACCAAATTCAATGTGATGGCTCCACATAATATAAAGGCACCTAAATAGGGAGAGAGAAATTGGGAAGTTAAGTTAAAAATTACCTTGCTCATTTCATAATGCTCTCTATTCTTAGGCTCAGAAGAGTTTGCACCACTAAATATTTGGTCATAGTGCCATTAATTTCTGAAAAGTTTGTCTTTGAATTTAATTGAAGGTATCTAAATCTGTTGACGTAATTTTTAGCTGTACAGACTACCGTATCCTTGTGAAACAGGGTGTTCTTTGGAGGTAAAAACCAGACATTGCACCAGTAGGTAGCTTGGAAGAAGAGAATGGTATTTGTGCTAAAGGAAAAAAGAATGTCTTTTGAGGGAAGATAGATACTTCAAATGTTAGAAAAATAGTGTGTTAAGGAGAGATTTTAAATACCATAAGTGAGTTGAGATTTAGGTACAGAAAATACAGAATTAGATTATGGGAATCAATCAGAAACTTCCTTAAAAGAGGATAGCCTTTCCTCTCATGACATTTTTAATATTCTTGAAAGAAGACAGATGCCAGCCTTTGATGCTGAGTATTTACTTGATTTCAGCATGAACTGACCAAAGCTGTGACTTGGTTGTAGTGCTTCTATGGAAGATGCTATCCTGTTTTATAGTTGTCAGCTGGTCCTGTTCACCATGTGACTAGTAGTTTTTTCTTAAGAAAGAAAACATTCTCAGCAGAACTCCTCTGTAGATAGAAATAGGCTTATATGTTCATGTATATATGTACATATCCATATATATACATGTATATTTTCAAGTAATTTAAGATTGTTTTAATCCAAGTGTTTTATCTCTGGTACAAAGAAAATTGTGGAGTGAATGGTTTTTCTTCATTTGTGAAAATTTATAGTTGACAGTATAAAAGATTAAGGAACATAATCCTCTCCTCACTTCCTCCACCACATCCCAATTTTTTTGGGTCTATTTTAATGAGTCTGATGGAGGAGGCATATTTTAAATGTGGATTTTTTTAAGGGAAAATTTATAAAGAGAATGCTTTGGTGGTAGAAAAGGAGGAGGGGGAATCCTTGTTTCCCCATATTGTCTTCCCTGAAAAGTGTCTTCCTGTTCTCAGAATGCCCTCCGTCCGCTCAGACATGAACCCTGTTGTGAACTCTTGAGTTGCCTATGTGGGTTGGCAAATCCTGCACATAGTTCATGATCTCTTCTGCTATGTATTCTCCAAGGAGGAGGAGCATGTTTACTTTAGAAATCATGCTCCATTTCCTCCCTGTCTCAAAAAGTCTTTACTTCCATTCATCAAAGGGAGAGAGCTGAACGTAATATCCTGTAGAATTGATAGTTCAGAAACTTAGAATGACTCACCTGTCCAGTCATAGAGGTCTATCAGGACTTTTGTAAAAGGTGCTAACAGAAATGTCAGCCCCATCCCAGAACGGGCAATAGCTGTAGAAAGAGCTAATCGTTTTTTGAAGTATTTGGTAGTCATCACAGCAGCTGATTGGTACAGTAAAGCAGAACCCAAGCCTAAAAAGAAAAACATTTTGGAGTCACTTAAATGAAGTGACTCAATACCAGATAAGATATTCTCCTGGACCCCAAATAATACAACTAGGTCTTTTGGACCCATGGACAGTAAAAGGGAAGATGCCTTGTTCCATTTTTTTTACAGTGGACTTACCAGGTAAAAATCCCATAGTCACACAAAGAAAGGGAATGCTTGTAGCCCAGCTGCTGATCAGGTATCCACCAGTAACAAGGAAAGCTCCAAGAATGGAGGCCATTTTTTCACCAAGTAAGTCACAAATAATGGCAACCAGAGGACCTTGAGAAAAGAAAGGCCAATGCTAGGTAAATGTGGAGTATTTTGTATCTTTCAAAAAAGTGTATAGCATTTCTTAATACTCCTAGTCCCACATTAATTTGCCTTTTGGAAGAAAAGGTGTTTTTTTTTTTAAGAGAATTGTATATAAGCAGGTTTGGAGGAGAGGCTTACTGAAAATGCTTTTAGAATACCTCCACAAAATCCGATTGCATCTAGTGACCTATGACAAGAATGAGGTTTGGTCATTAATCTACTCCTCCACCATGTTACATGCTCCAAATGGAAATACAGGAAGAGGATCTTGTTTTATATTTTATTTTGAGTATGCTTCAGATAACCTCGTGGTCTGATTTCCAAGTGAGAGATTGGCTGACTGAACCAATATTAGGTACTGTGGAAAGAAACAAGGCATGAAAAACTGAATCATGAATTAAATAGCTGGATTCTTCAACGTTGTGTGAACCCTAGTTTTTCCAATTTTACCATGTCAGGTGGAGGCTGAATACTGCAAGTCCTTCCTTTTCTCAGCTTTATGTATGAATAAATGAACCTGAGTTTTAGTAATGCTTCAGTTTTGAGTGACTGACAGTCTTGGAATTGCCATTTGTGGTCCTTCTCTTTGGACAGTAAGCTTATTTTTGACCTCATACCTGCAAAAAAACGAAGTGATGACATAATAGATCCAATCCAACCAATTTGCTCTGAGGTGCCTTTAAATTCTTCTTGAAAAACCACGAAGAAAATTGCAAAAGTCTTCGTCATCCCCATCACAAACACATTTACCTAAATCAAAGCAGACCAGAGTCCAAGTCAGGTGGTGAGTGAGCCATTACAGAGGAGGTTACACGTGCTCTCAACTACTATTCCCCCATCTCCCACTTTAGTGGTTCCTCCTTACACATTTTATGTTACGGGGCAGTCATCCCCTTAGAGTGGCTAAGCAGTTTACATCAAATCATCCCATTTAATTCTCATTACAAGACTATGGCGTAGGTGTGTCAATCTCTAGTACAAACTAGAGATCAGGAAATTGAGGTGTTACTGTGGGGTGTGGGGAAGCATGCTCTTAAAAAGAAAATGGGGACAGGGAGCTGGATCAATCAATTTCTAGGGGCTTATCTTGGAGTGAGTCCTTTTACAATATCTCAAGTGGCTCTGGGACAGGACTGAAACCCACTGACCTTGGTCCAAAGCATGGGATGAAATAAAGTAATATAGCTTTATCTGCTTAAACAAAGTTGGGAGGTTACAAGTTAAGGGAAGGAGGCAGAAAAGATGCAAAGGGGATCTTGTCCTTGGCTTTTTTGATTTACACAGCAGAAGACTCAGACCCAGTTATTAGGGACAAGTGATATATGCTTACTGCTGCTATGCCCAAACATCAAAGACAGACCAGAGAGGAAGGATTCTGAGTTGGAAGGCCTATAGCTAGCCAAATTCAGGGGGCTAAGAATGCAGAGCTCAGCACCCTGTAGACCAGCACAGAGAACCCATGCCCACATTAAAAGTGGAAGGAAATTTTACAGAATGACCCCTCCTTGTGTTCCTTGCTCATGAGAGAATGCAGTCATCACTCTGTATTTCAAACTGAGAAGTTGCTCAAGATGGGGATGCTGGAGCTGAGATTTGAACTGAGATAGACTGACTCCAGACTACTCCTGTTGGAATAGCAACTGTTAAAGATGGCTAATTCCAGTTACCTCTGTGAGAGAAGCGTGTTGGTCCAAAAGATGAATTCTATCTGGCAGTTCTTAAATTAGCTTTGCTTTAACTCTGAGCTGAGTACCCTCCCTTAATATGTAAGTTGGGTGACCACATAATTTATTGAAATTGAAACATTTTTGAGAGCAAAAAGATGCTGTTAACCTATGCCAACACAGAAAGGGTAAACCAGGAAGTGTCACAGTTGGGTCACACGCTCCATACTTTTGGCGCACTTGGCCCTCCTGTGCGCGCACCCCTCCTCCCCTCTGCTAGCAAGAGCGCTCCTTTTGAGGCCAGTGTCTCTTTCTGTGGAGTACTCAGTGGTTTATTGGACTCCCAAGTAGCCTGGGGCCAGTGAAAAGCAGGGTCAGGAAGGGTAATGAAAGGAAGCCACCTAGCCAGGCTCTGCACTCATCTCGAAGCCCAGGAGCCACATGTATTGTCTCCAGGGGCTTGCCAGCTTCCCCTTTCCTTTTCTCAGTGGCCTTTATATTTCAAGGCCACTTTCTTTACTTTCAACCTAGGTTGCCTTTCACTGATTCCACTTTCCCTTTCCACCCGCTAAGTATTTTCCCTCTGTGGTTCTGCACTCATTTCATTTTCTACTTTCTCCATAGACAGCCATTCACTCTCAAGGTTTTAGTTACCATCCAGCCACTCCTGGTATAGTAGTTAATGAGCACTATTATGTAGTCAGCCTGCCTTGGTCTGAATCCTGGCTCCACTTTCTAAGGGAGTGACCTTCGGCAAACTATGTCACAGAAATTAAGTTCCCCTTTTGTAAAATAATAAAGTAAATGTTTAATAAAGTAAAAGAAAGTCCTACCTAGCTGATAGGACTATGAAGATTGAAAAAATCCTGGTAAAGTACTTAGTGCTTAATACTCAAACTGTTAACAAGGATTTTTTTATCTTGTGTAATCATTCTGATTTCCCAAAAGCTTCAGATTCATTTATATAACTGTCTACCGTATCTTTCTAACTCAGGTCAGTTCATCCAAAACGAAACTCATCTTTCCCTTATCCCACACCTACTTGTCATTTCTCTTTCGATTGGTACCATCACCCACTCACCCACGTCACCCTCCTTCCTCTTGGGTACCTCCTTCCCTCAGTCCCCAGCTGCTAAATAATTAACACCTTCCCCCTTCACTGTTAGACTCTTATTTCAAATTAGTATTTCTTATCTGGAGTAAGGGATCAGTAGTGGTGCTCTGAGATTGCAAAAGTCGGGGTGTGGTGAGGAGTTGGTCCCATAATTTATTTCTCTCATTGTGACTTGATAGAAGCTACAAAACTCCTTACTTAGAGTGAACAGTGTTACGGATCCAGGGCTATATATTCAAAAGTGAAAAAGACATTTTATTAGGCCCTCATTCAGATAATTTGTTAATCATACTGTTCCTCAAAGGTACTTCTATCAGAAAATGAGACAAAGAGAACATGGGCAAACCTCAGATGACCCAGACTCATTTCTCTCAGTTTGAAATACACAGAACGGTGATTGTATCCTCTCATGAGCGAGGAACACAACAAGGAGGGATCATTCTGTAAAGTTTCCTTTTTTAATGTGGGCATGGGTTCTCCGTACTGATCTACAGGGTGCTGAGCCCCCTAAATTTGGCTAGCTACAGGCCTTCCAACTCAGAACCTTTCCTCTCTGGCCCCTCTTTGATGTCTGGGCATAGCAGCAGTGAGCGTGTATGACTTGTCTCTAATAACTGGGTCTGAGTCTTCTGCTGGATAGATCAAGAAAGCCAAGGACAAGATCCCCTTTGCATCTTTTCTGCCTCCTTCTCTTAACTTGTAATCTTCCAACTTGTTTAAGCAGATAAAGCTATATTATTTTATTTCATCCCATGCTTTGAACCAAGGTCAGTGGGTTTCAGTCCTGTCCCTGAGCCTACTTCAGACATTGTAAAATGGACTCACTTCAAGATAAAAGCCCTATAAAAATTCTCCTGTGATTGATCCAGACCCCCCACCTCCCATTTTCTTTTTCTTTTTAAAAGCATACCTCCCCCACCCCACAGTAAGAGCACCCTCATCGATTACTCTGATTAGAATACTGTTTTGGGAAAGGAGGCTGCATAAGCCACCGTGGTCCTTTTGGAAACAGCTTCAGGCTTTGTCAAATTATGGTTTAATTGTTGTTAAACAACAAATAACTTCCTTCTACCCTAGGTCCCTCTCAAGTGTCACTCTAGCTCTTTCTAACCTTCACAGACAAACTTAAAAAAAATAATAGTCTGGTTATTTCCACTTTCTGTTATCCCACCACTCCACTGTACCAGCTCTGTTCAAGGTTATCCAAGACATCCTTGTAGCCTGTGGTCATTCTGTGGTATCTCGCCTCTCTGCAGCATCTGCTCGTCACTTGCTCCTTCTGGACATTTCTGCCTTTGCCTCTGGGATGCTGTGTTTCTGGAGTGCAGCTTCTCTGACTGACTGCTCAGTTTCCTTTGTGGGCTGCTCTCCACCTGTAGACATTGATTTTCCCAGGTTCTATCCTAGTTGTTCTTCTCCCTCTTCCTGGTGATTTTACCCATCCTGAGCCATAGTTCAAACCACCATGTATGCTGATGACTCACAAATTTCAGTATTCAGGGCCTATGCTCCAGAGGCAAATACACTGTACTGAGCCCATCATTGGTTAAGTTGCAAAGTCTCTCAGACTGTCCAAAATTAAACCAACCAAGCCATCTTGGGATTTTCTCCCTTTCTTCCTATGTCCTCCCACTCAGTAAATGGCATATGTCATCCTCCTTGGGGCCCAAGCCAGCAGCCCAGGAACTCCTTGCTTCTCCCCTGACATTCATTTCCTCTCCAAGTCTTATACTTCTACCTCCTAATGTCATTTAGATCTATTTTTCTTTTCATCCACATTGTTATTGCCTTCATTTAGGGCCTTATATACTCACCTGGATTATTGTAGTGGGTCTCCCAGCTTCCAGGCCTATCCCCTACCTGCATTATCCAGCCTGCAGCCAGGGCTATTTTCCTGAAATGCAAATCTGTTTCCATCACTCCCCTGCTTAATTTTTTTCATTAGTTCCTCATAGCCTCAAGATATAAGCTTGTCATGTCACACAAGGCTCCTGCCCATCCCACCAATTTCGTCATTTATCAGCTTCCTTGTTTGTTCATAAGTGTGTCCGTCAGTCAGTTCATCCATCCATCCATCCGTCCATCCTACCTCCATCAGTGGGTAATTGCTGAGTGCCTACTATGGTCTGGGCTGTTTACTAGGGGCCAGGCTTACAGTGGTGAGCAAACAGACATGGTCCCTGCCCTCATGGAACATTCAGCCCAGTGAGACAGACTGAATGCAGAAAACAATCATGCAAATACATGGTTTTAAAGTGTAGTAAGTTAGTTTGAATGAGTCCATTTTTTTAAAGTGGGGAACTCCTTTAGAGCATTTTATTGGATCTTCTACTCACCTTTTCACAGGAGCTTATTTATTATAGGAACATATACTTGTAACTCATGCAGATGCAAAAGCATCGTCATCTAAGTGACTGTCTACATTACCACTACAGGTGATTATTATCCTGAGTTGTTAACACTTTGAGGACCTAATATATTTTTTGTGCTTCTATAGAAAGCATCACATTCAAAGCAAGTAGGACATTGTTGACTAATCTGATTCTTACGCAGTTTTTTTTACCAGTAACTAAATTTGTCAAATAACTTCCTATCCTCAGAGGGTAATGGGGAAAAGCTTGGGGGGGCTATTTGAAGGAAAAGTGGGAGAACAAGATCCTCCCAAAAAATGGCAGTTCTGCAGTGCCTGTGGCTGAGGGAGGCAGCCCAGCCGTGTGAGGGGCTCTAAATTAGGAGATCTTTAGTTACTGGATTAGTAACATTTCTGGGAGAGCAAAGAGATTCCACATTCTTTGGTCATGGAGCTAATGTTCAACAAATAGCCCTCAGGTTAGGAATCTTGTATTACATAAATCCTGCCTGGGGACCTCTGCCCCTGCTCTCCCCTTCTCTATTACTAGGAATAAGGCATGTTTTCCTGTTGTCCCACTTAGAGAGTTCTTAGTTATCCACACTGTGGACTATGGGTGAAATACATCTCAAATTTAAAGCAACTTATTCAGAAACTCTTAAGAGGAATTGTGGAGCTGGTATCAACTCTGTGCAGGGTTGGTTGGGGGTATAGCTGTGAGGCGATTCACCAGTATTCTAGAGTGACAAAGCTGATTCAGATCACCATTGTCTCACATAAACAACCCCAAATGTTTCTGGGAGGATGAGGGAAAGAAAATAAAAATGGTGTGCCTAGTCCAGTTGCTTATGGAAGAAGGAGAAAAATTAGGTTCCAGTTTCAGAATCTACATCCTTCTCTCTCTAGACATACCAGAAATATACATTGTGTCTAGTTTGGCATACCTTATGGTTAGTGGGGATGTTGGGAAGTGGACAGCAGGCAGAACAGAAATGTCTCCATCTTCCGTGAGAGGAGGAGGTTGCTGCCTGCAGTGCTCCGTGCATGCTGTGCTGAGCTGGGGAACCCACCCCAGAAGCACTTTCAGCACTTGTGAGGGCTGCAGCTGGGATGATTAAATGTATGATTTTCCCTAAATTTTGACTGCCATGCCACCAGGGTGGAGCTGCTGATGGTGACTGGAGCGAATGGTAGGTTTAAGGGATGGTAGGGAGGAGGAGGAGACTGGATGGGACTGCTTCTGCCTTCACTCAAGGGAACAGCTTCAACTTTCCCATGGCTTTAGTATGGACCAGTGACCTTAGCAGTTACAAATTCAGGACCCAGTGAGCTTAGCACTGATAGCAGTTCTTGGCCTTGCTCTGCACCCCTGTTCCATTCAAATGCCAACAATTTTATATGTGGTCTTGCAAGGCTGTTCTGAGCCTCTCTGCAGAGAGCCATCTTCCAGGCAGAGGAAAGGGGAAAATAAATGCTTACCAGAAAGAAGTGAAGTACAATCATCCATCCCCAGCCTCCATCTGGGTTTTCAGTATAAGGTTGGGCCTTCCCTGCCCCCTTCAGCATGATGCTTTGTTTTTAAGTGCAGAAAATCTCTGATAAATTCAAGACATAGTTGATACAGTTGAGAAACTGACCTAACTTTTTTGTTTTTGGTATCATTAATCTACAATTACATGAGGAACATTATGTTTACTAGACTCACCCCATCACCAAGTCCCCCCCATATACCCCATTACAGTCACTGTGACCTAAACTTTTAAACTTTATTTTTCTCTGTGATGTAAAACCACTTGTACTATAATTTTTTTTAGCCCACCCCTTTAAAAATAGATGATTCCCTCTCATTTCCAAATTTGTGTGTAGACTGACTTCAACCTTAAAAACGCAAGTAGGGCTTTGTACCATCTTTAGGGATTTTGCTGGGGCCCCCCCTGTGTGGCTTCACCTGGCAAGTCCACATGGCTTTGACAGTAGAGTATGTTTTTAGTTACATGTAACATCTTCCTGGCCATAATGTTCCCTTATCTCTGCTTATTCCATGATCATGATGGAGGCAGAACCCTGTGAGAGGTGAGGAAAAGCTAAGAAAGCTGTGATTCGAGGGACATCAAGGCCCCCATAGAGATACCTCTTCTGCCCGTTTGAATGGCATCTGAAAGACGACCACTCAGCCCATTTCAGGCAGAAATTGCAGAGAAGTTCTGCAAAGCCTGACCTCACTGATTGTGGGGTGGCTGCTCCTAATCCTGTCCTCAGTGGCTTCCCCCCAGGTCTGCAAGCCAAATCTTAGGGAATGTTCTGCATCACAGCTGGTACTTTGGGTGAGGTCTTAACTATAGAGAAATAATAAAGGGAGGGAGAGCCTCAGGTTTAGGAATACCCCTTACAAAGTACTTCTTACAATGAAAATAGTCTAAGGGACTAAATGGGACATGACAGCAAAATGCAATGACTATTTCTGAATGGATCCCAGACCAGAAAAAAAGCTGTAAAGGGCTTTGGGAGGTCAATTGGGGAAATTTGAATATGGACTGTATAGTAGACACGGTTAAATCTCTTGGGTGTGATGGTGGTCTTGTGATTATGCAAGAGAATGTTCTTGTTAGGAGATATGTGCTAAAAAGTATTCAGAAAAAACGTCATAGAATCATATACATATATGTGTATATATATGCATACACACATAAAAAGAAGTAGCAGAAAGGAAATGTAAATGTTCTAAGGATGAGATACAGCATTCTTGATTTCTGACTGCCAGGTTCGCAGGCAGGCTGTTTCATACTGGACAGGAGAACCCACCAAGGCGTGTGGACTGGTCATCTGGTGAGCAGTCTGTCGGAGAGATGCTGGTTGTTCAAAACATAATAGAAAACCAACCCCAACACACACTCTTTTTTACCTTTGATGTCGGCAAAGGAGTCTTCCACAGGTGATCCAGTTTGGGAGGAAAAAAAAATTATATAATTTTCTTGAATGTTCTTCTTTTCCTAAGGCATTTCATTTTACTGCATTGTGAAAATAAGCAAGTGTTGTAAGAGTCCAAGAGGTTACAGCCAATTTAGACACTCCTGCCAGTGGACTTTACTTCCTGAGGTTGGGGGAAGACTGATTCGACATCCTCCTGGGCCCTCCCTCTTCAACCCTACTTGGAAAGTGGAATTTTTCACCATAAGCTCAAAAGCAAGCAGTACAGTAAACTAAGAAGAAAATCGAAAATCCTCTTTAATTACTGTCAAATTAAGTAAACAAGGAGGCCATTACAGTGAGGTGGCTCTTAAGCCATGGTGGCTTATGTAAGAAAACTAAAGTCTAAGACTATAAAAACATCATAGGCAAGAAGATATGTCAAAGAAATAATCAATCCTCCCATGTTTTCTTGCATCTGCTACCTCTATAGCTTTTCTTCTTCCTTCCTAATTACAACCCTTTAATAGATTTTGTGCCTCATACCGAATTTACCAAGTATCATAATTCTCCAAGTGGTAAAGATACCTCAAGACAAATGCTGGGCATAGAAGCCACAGGGCATAAATCTGCAAAGAAGTAATCTAACCTTTTCAAACAATATTGCTTCTCTCTCACCAACTTTACATCTCCCTGTATGGCCCCGGAAGATGACTGGTTAGCCAGAGACGGGTAAGATTCCTCAAGGGAGGAACAACCTAAGACAGGCACAGTCACAGGGGGGCCATCAGGTGAGAAACTGGGGATCAACAGAGGTGAGGCTTAGAACCTCAACCCCCCTGTTTTGAGAGAAATCCTCTGCATCCGTGGATGTTTTATTGCCCTTGTCTAGCTTGGATTAACACGTAGTCTACAGGCACACACCTGCTCATCTACATTTGCTCTCTTACAGCACTAAACTATGTTTTCTACCTTTATCT